TAGGGATCATCCTTCTGTTTGAACCAAGTTTCACAGGTTGCACAGATGGCTTCAGATTTGACTCTAGAATAGGGGTTATAATCTATTATCTAATGCAGACATTAAAATCAAGTTTAAAATGTCTAAAGATTAATTCATATTAAATGTTCATAAGGTCATGTAAAGACAGAACTGTGAAGTGTGGCTCCTGGACTGTTTATGGTCCAGAAACGGCTCCTTCTGCTTTGAAAGCCAGTGCTTGGAAGTATTTGGGCTTCTGTGAAGGTAAAGGAAAACCCACATTGACTGCCTCTGCTAACAGACGTTTACTGGTTTTGGTTTTTTATTTCTGAATCCTTTTTATTTGCCTTGAACTTGAACATTTCATTTCTTGATCGAGGCCTGAGACAAAGGTCATGTTGGGCAAAGTGTCCACATTTTTTTGTTGTCGTTTGGAATAAATAATTTTCACTATAGGAAACTGTTTAACAGAGAAAAGAATGGAAAGATGATGAAAGATGGAAGCTTTTTGGCACAACCCCTTTGCAGACGTGTGTTTGATGAATTTATATCCTGGCTAAAGAAACAAAACTGTAATAAATAAACACACATTAGGGTGGCACAATTTATTGTTAATAAACTTGGTGATTCTGTCTGTCCTTGCTGGCAGTTTTATACGTTAATAGGGGTGCACCTTGATTTTCTTAATCTGGGGAAATCGGCTGATATTTGCATGAGAAACCGATTTTACCTATTATTTTTGTTTGAACAACAATTGTCTGAACTTCATTTATATTTCAGAACACTACCTCATGGTCAGTTAAACACGTTTATATTGTTTCTAGGATATTGTTCAAGGGTATGTTTTTCAATAAAATAAAGACTAAAAATTGAAGGTGCATTGTGACGTTTTAACACCTGACTGTGTCGCTTATAAAACTAAATCCGTATCGGCCATTATTATCATTATTATTACGGTCTATTATTAAATTCATGCGCATTAATCCAGGTATAAATCCAACCATATTCAGTCAGGTCATCTGGATGGTTTATTTTGTTGCTGAGACGTTTTATCCGAAGGACTTCTTCAGCCTGAGGATCCCACCAAACCAAAGTGAATCCCACAAACAGCTCATTCCCAGAGTGGAAAAAAAAACCAGGAAAGTCATACAGCATTAAGTGATCAAACCTCAATAACTAAAGATCACAAGCTGTGGTAACTTTTGACCTTCTAATCTTACGTCTTCTTTCAGTTCATTTCAGCGTCACTCTGAGATAAAGTGTCCCAGGTTTGACTGAAAACAATATTTACCAAAGAGTGGCAAATAAAAATGTCAGACTGTGAAAAAAGACGTCTCTATTGCTGCTTTGGCCTCTTTGTGCTGTTGACCTTATCGTCGCTGATGCTCCGTGTTATGATATCCAGGAGTGTTTTCTCACAGCCTCGCAAAATAAATAGGCGAGACGCGCCTTCAGCTCTTATCTGAGTGTCTCAGAGCTGAGGTCGCTGTTGGCAGCATGACTCTGCAGACTCCCAGACCTGCTGAGTGGCTCTTTGTTAAGACTTAACACACCGTGAATAAACACAAAAACATTAGCAGGCACTTCACCCTGTTTTGAAACCACTCTGCGGACATAATTAATACACAGGGATGACACTTTTATCTATGTTTATATGTGACCCGGCTTTATCCAGTTGTGCACAACCAAAGTGCAGCCCTCCAAACATGTTTGTACTTTATGTTTTATAATAATATAGCTCCATTAAACCTCATCCTGTGTCTTCTATTAAAAATGGCAGCAACTTTTATATGAAAAGGAAGGTAAAGTTTCCTCTCCAAGCAAGCGTTCACTTCTTCACCTGAACAAGTTCACCACAAACCTGATGAAAGCTGGCCATTGTCCGTTCAGCAGGAGCCAGATTCCTTTCAATTATAGATGATTCAGCTCCCTCCTCCAATGTCCCATTTTTATTCTCCTTCCTCTCAATACCCCTTTCTCTTTTTTCTTTCAGGGCCCTGTCGTCCTGACCCTCGGCACACCTTTACCGCTGCACGTTCGTTCAACAGCCCGTTTTCATTTGTAATGCATGAAATCTTTTAATGGAGTCACCCAAGGGGAGAGTAATGGAGCACCCAGATGGAGATCCAGCTAATCTCTCATGAATTTAAATATGTTTAAAATAGGAACAAAAGCCCTGGATGTAACTGTTCCACTGTCACTTTAACCCTAGGGCTACAGAGACCACCAGGTTTTTGTAAAACCACTGCCACTGGTGCCAAGCGATTGTTCTTTCTTAACCAAATTCACACTGAGACATTAAAAATAAAAAAAAAAGCTAATTTAAAATGACATTTCCACTAAATGACATGTTTTAACAATGCATTTATCATATGTGAGCATGTTCTGTATCAGTGCAGTGTTTTAATATGCTGATTCCCAACTTATTAGAGTTCGGTCTACAAACAAACGGCAGTAGACATTTGTTACTCTGACTATCTTTGGTTAACATATCAAAACATTACAATTAGGCCAATTAAACAAAAGTTAGAGAGACAAAACACGTCACTATACTATTTATATTGACTAATAACAATATAATTTATGTCTCATTGCTATTCTGACAAAAAATGTAATTAGCTATTTTTTGTAATTAATTTTTTTATTTCTGGAAATCATTTGAAGACACCAAACTTCATATTTAATGGGGTCTGAAGCCCAACTTTGGGAATTAGTCATAACATACGTATAAGTAGCAGCATTTTCCTCACTTGCTCTCGTGCAAGACAGATGCCTTTCTTCCCTCTCCCGTCCTCCTCCTGCTTTTTTGTTCTGTCCCATGTATCGGAGCTCCTATTTACACATTTTCCAAAACGTAAACTACTGTCATGGATCTGGTCAGCTGACTTTCAACGCAATCAACAAAATCTTTTCAACAAAGTAACAGGGTCCTGGAGAGCCCTCATGCCCCGCTGTGACGCACGCGGCAGGATATGTCATGGATCCGTGGGGAGTTTGGAAGCTGATGTGCCTTTCCGTATTGTCTCTGTAGGACGCTGAATTTGTTTATATAATTAGAACCATGATAGAGAGGTTTCTGCTTTTTGGCACCGGCGGATACCTATGTTATCAGCTTTTAAAGAAGACGGCAGCAGCAGTTTCGGCCATGGCAAAGCTGCCGACCTTATGTGAAGGTTTGGTTCGTGCTTCGAGTACTCAAAATCAGCTGATTTACAAGCTAAACCATAAGGTGGAAGCGAACCTGTGAGAATCACAGGCTAATTGCGGCTTCTGGGACTCGCCAGAATGTTGGGGACGACCTTGGAGGGAGTTTATAAACACGAACCAGTAGAATGCCCACAAGTCTGGCCATTTTGGATTGAAAGTACAAGCAGGACTCAAGGCTGACAAGATATAACAGTCTGCCTGAAAAAATTAACAATTGTGGCTTATCTGAATCTGATTCCCCGTTTGACCTTGAAGCAGGCAATTTATCAAATTTCTCTTGGGATATATGTGTAAACTAAGAAAAAAGCTTTGTCTACTGCAAACACCACCCCGAGAATGTCTGTGAATGCTTATCAGAGCTGTACTGGCTGACACCAACATCTTAACAGGACTATGGACTATCTGGATGTACTTCATAGACAAATCTTACCGTCTTATCATCAGATGAAAATGTAATGTGTCTAATGTGTTTGCTGGTAAAGTTTTTTGATGACTTAAATTGTGTCCTGATAAGGACAATATGTGAAGAGATCATTTTTGTAATAACACTATCCTCTCCTCATGGCCTTTCCCCCTTTCCTATCTAAAAGAATAAGGGGCTCGAACTATCAGCAGCAGCAGCAACGTGCACTCCACCCATATTTCGGACAACTGCACGAACATAATCTCACTGTATTTTGGTACAATGATAAAAAAGCTTATTCTGATTCTGATAAACAGTCATGTTTATTTGAGATAAATGTTGGTATTCTGGCTACAAGGGTAAGTAAGAATAAAGTTGCTTGGTTAAGCTAATATTTCACCTTCAGCTGTGGTGAAGCACACAAGATGTTAAGATGGTCTGAAACACCAGATGAGAAGTTACATTAACTCAGTTCATAATTACGCCAACATTAAAGACCGACATGGTGGAGGAAAGAAACAGCTCAACAGAAAGAAATAAAACAAATAAATGTTCAAATGTTCTAAATGTTTAAAGCACACACTTTATTTATGAGAAAAACCAAAGTAAAAAAAACCTAATTATTGAAAAACTTAAAAGAAAGCCAGAAGAACTTTTGCTCAAGATCCCATTGAAAGGTTAGTGTCTGAAGATTTAGACGTTTTGAGGTATAAGATTTTAGAAAGTTTTGGTTCAGAGACTCTATGGTCACGTTTTTTAACTCCCATAACAAATAGGCTCAAGATCTGGAGCTGCCAAAAATGTGCATGTTAGGCTAACTGGTAACTCTAAAATGGTAAAACTGAAAATGGACGGGTAACTTGTGTTCTGCACTGGTTGGTTTGTGCGGGAAAAAAATACAAGATGCAAATACTATATATATATATATATATATATATATAATGTTTGTTTTTTTTTCCCCTTCCTTGCTGAGAATGTCCCCGTTTTTTTTTTGCTGGCTGAAAATCAGTTGGTGGTCCTTCTTTCTGATAGTTAGCACACAAAAGGTGACTTTTGTGAGTTAAAAGTTTTTCATCTTCTTCTTTGTGAGTACATGAATATGTACTATATGTATGAGTACACAATTTAAATACTCAAAGGTGCAAGCACTCACTGTGTGCACTTCAAATAACTCCAGACATGGACGGCCCCGTTTCAGATGTCAGGATTATTTATTTATTTATTTATTTATTTATTTATTTATTTATTTATTTAACATTGTTTTTTTAAGCTTTACAGTATATTTAGGTATGTGGAGTTTCTTTTGTTTTACCTTGGAAGAGCTCTAATGAGCCAAAAATCACAGAAAACTTGTTTTCTCAGAGTTTTGGTAAATAACAGGATGCTTCACCTGAGGAGCGGCGATGTTGAGCGCTGGGTTGGCCAGTTCAAACCTCTCCTGTGATTTTTCTCTGGCAAGACGTGCCGCCTCCTTCACCTCCCTAAACTTCTCTGCAAACTTCAGGTGAAAAGAGAGAAGAGGAAGAAATGAAACTCTGCATCTTTCAGCAACATTCAACCACCTTTATTTTAACCAAGCAGCCTAATTCCTGGGAAATAACGTGGATACTGGGTTAATTTAATGCTACAGAGTGAAATATTCAACCACGTTCTTTTATCGTGTACAATAAGTTTTTGTGAGAAGAAAGGAAAAAGCAAAAGGTCAAACCCTGCATATAAATGAATGTCACGGAACAAAAACGTGTTTGCAAAATCCACGTTTGCAAAAGGAAAAGGTCAAGTTCTCTGTGTATTTTGCAGGTTTTATAAGAAAAGGCTACTTGAATGCAATAAGACCCATGACGGTCCTCCTGAAGGAGCAAGAAGCAGTTTGAGGGTTTTACCTGCTGCAGCTGCTGCTCCGTGGAGAAGCCCAGGCCATAGACGGTGTTTGCTCGGCTGTCGGCCCACTGACCAAACTTCTGCGACGTTTTGGTGAAAGTCATGTTTGGGGTGATGGTGCTGTTGATGATGGCCTGCCTCCACAGAAAACACAGGTTTAATATATATTGAACACAAGTTAGAAAAATAATCCAAGATTTTTTTTTTTTATTAATAAAAAGCAGAACTAAACTAAATCTTTTAAAAAAGAACAGAACAGAGAAGTGTCCTCAACATGTATTTTACATAGACACTGCAGAGGTTATGAAAAGTTAAATAACTAGAGTAGAAAGAGTTTAAAACAATTAATTTGACTGAAATCTGAACGTTTAAGTTTCTCCAGCAGCAGTCAGGGGTCCAGGTGAGCTGGTTCGCTCCTAAACAAACTTTGATGCATTAATTTACAATCAAATGAATAAAACGCGCATAAAATGTAAAGTTTATTACATATTATTGTTGTTTTTATTTATTTAAATGTCCCTGATAAACATAACTATTAATTCCCAGCAGGTGACTTGTTCCTGTGCAGCAACTCATCACAATAAAACAGTAAAGGAATTTTATAGTTAGTTTTATGAACACAAAAGAGCATCCTAATAATAAAACTGGAGCATATAAGTCACATTTATGTCAGGGGCTTTTTAAAATATGAATTTAGGTCACTTATGGGTAAAAATTCACAGTGGAGGCTTGTTCTATGAACAACCAGGACACGGAAAGAACAAATGAAATTAGCTTGTTTTGTGTCAACATAAGTTGTTGCTTTAATATTCTCCAGTGAACAGGCAGATCAGGATTTGTTGCCAAAATTATCTCTTTCAGTTCCTCATCCAAAAGCTTTAAATCTCAGAGGGGAACAATTGGCCCAAATGTCTGCTTTCTCCAAGTTTTACTTAATAACAATGTTAAAGTCAGGACTCCCAGGAGCTTCAGCATCGCTGTGGATGCATCTTTACCAATGAGATCATGGGATAAATATTCTGTTGACAACATGCGCATCTTGCAGACAACAAACATTTTTATGTATTTAGACAATCCCCAAACAGGAGGTGAATAAATAGCAAAGCAGAAGAAGCACTAATGTCTAATTTAACACTTGTGACAAATGAGGAAAATCCACAAAGTAATGCAACATTTCATGGCTGCTTGTAAATGATGCAGGTGTTGCTCCCACCTTAGTCCCGCCCACACTGATGACGCGATAGACGCCGCGGCTGGCATCGTAGAAGAAGGACACGGTGACGGCGTGTTTACTGGCCGGCAGCCAGTTCCGTTTGGTGGCCGGGTCGATCTGGAAGACGTGAGCTCTGGAGCTGAAAATGGGCTGCTCCCTTCAAGGCACAAAGAAAATGAGAGCAAGTTAGCATGCAGTTCCCGATGATTTTGTGTCACATTTTATTACAAAATGCCATCTTTTTGTTAAACCCAGGACATGTGACTTCCATTTGAAATAATCCCAGAAACAGACATTATATCCTTCAGTTCTCCTTAGTTCAGAAAGTTCCAACAAAAAGTTATTCCTGTTTTACAGTTGCGTGTTTCTTGCAGCCATAAAGATCACGTCTACTTGTTAATCATGTTAAACTTGGTTTTCTAACAGACCAACAACATGCATGTTAGGCTGACTGGATGTTTGTCTCTATATGTGTCCCTGTGATGGACTGGAGACCTGTCCAGAGTGTCCCTCACTCTCGCACAATGGACATGGGCACACCAGCAACCCCCGTGACCGAAAAGGAAGAAGCGGATAAAGATAATGAATGGATGGATGGATATTTCTTTCTTTCTTTCTATGTATCTATATATATATATATATCAGTTTCCTTCTGATAACAACAAAGTTTGAGAAAATGAAATTCAATGTAAATGTATTAATAATTGTGTTAAATAATTATGGTAAAGCCATTTTTCTAACAAAACAACAGAATCATAAGATTAAGGAAACCATCTAGATCACTGCATAAATCAAACCATAACCCAAAATTTCATTTTTGTTTTCCCAAAGACCTTGAGGTCACTGAAGTTTTCCGCTTGGAAAGATCTCATTGGTGTAAAAAAGTTTTATTTAACCTCCAGCAGTCCAATTAGTCGTTCTGTTCTCTTTGAAGACAGACGTTTGCTGTGAGGACAAACGGTTGGAAGAAGCTCCAGGGACACCGAGGGACCACAGAGGCTCTTGGTGAATCTTGCATCATTACACAGCTAATAGGGTTTGAACAATGTTAACGTACACAATGAGCCGTTTACTCTGAAGTCAATTACATACAACATTAATGGGGATAATGTGCACTGGGAGGGGACTCTGGTCTTTGTCAAGCAAAAGAAAAGACCTTTTATATAGGTCAGCAACTGGCTATATGAAGAAATGCCCCAGGTGGATTTAAAGGGAATTACAGAACATTTGCATTCGAACAATGGCCATTATTCTTCCTGCACAGATCCTTGAAGCCACAATGGACGATAGCACGGCCAAGAAAGCAGAATTAGACGGTGTGGTTTAGATTGAGGACAGCTGCAGCTACAGATACAATAAATGTATAATAGCTTGTGCAGCTGTTTTATTTGGTGTACAAAAATGATTTTTAGTGGACACTGGACCAAAAAATAAAAAAATAACACAGAAGGGAGCATTTTTACCTGTCAAGAAAGCTCAGATTTGTTTGTGTTTATAACTTAAATGTTAGGATTTACAATTAGGATTTAAGGTTTTACAACATCCTCAGATTTAAGTAAATTTGATTTTTATGAAAAGTGTCTTGAAAGACTAAAAAAACAGAGTTTGATTTTATGCAAAGCAAGACTCATTCCTCTGGTAACATTACAATGTTGGTCACTTTCAAATTTATTTTACTCCCTAAGTTTCATTTCACGGTATTAATTTATTAATATATTAATTTTAATTGCTGGTCTGCATTAAGAGACTTTGATAAAAATGTATTTGTCTTAAATTAATCTAGATGTAAGTTGGTGAACGAGAGGAAGAACTAACGTCTCTAAAAGGTAGAATTTTACTGCGCTACAACTGTGACTAGTTGGCAAAGTGTACTTTTTATTGAATCTCCAAAATGTTCACCGGGGTTCTTTAAATTCATCGCCTGAGTCGTAAAGGCTTGCAGTCCCGCTTAAATTTTGAACATGTTCAAAAATTTTGCAAATTTTCACATAAAATATTCAGTCATTGCAGTTGTCTCAAATCAATCTCGCTTTTCTCCCAGATGTCTCAAACGTGTCTCAAGAGCACCGCAGCTGTATTTTGACACCTGCAGGAAGCAGGTCCATAAACGATCATAGTTACTGAAAAACTGGTCCAAATCGGCCTATTTTCATTTTAAAAGTGTACTCCAGTAGATCAAATTATAACAATGTGCACATACCATACCAATTTATTTATATAGCACTTAAAACAGCAACAAGGCCAACCAAAGTGCTGTACAAAAGAAAACAAACAAGCACAGCGGACAGGAAAACATAAAATAGAAATACAGATACAAATAGCAGCAGAAGCTAACTAAAATGGCCAACAGAGTAGAGAACAGACCGGACCAAAACAAATCACACCGTGTTAAAGGCAAGCGAATAGAAGTGGGTCTTCAAGCGAGACTTAAAGACTGAGAGTGTGGGAGCCTGCCGGACACTCAGTGGCAACTCATTCCACAGTCGTGGACCTGCAACAGAGAAAGCCCTGTCACCTCTGAGCTTACGACGGGTTTCTGGGACTGAGAGAAGCATCTGGTCTGCTGACCTCAGAGAGCGCGGTGGGACATATGGCTGCAGAAGATCAGTGAGATAGGATGGGGCGGAACTGTTCAGTGATTTAAAAACATACATGAGAATTTTGAAATGGATCCGAAGGTGAATGGGTAGCCAGTGCAGGGAGGCCAAAACTGGCGTGATGTGCTCTCTATAGCCTGTACCAGTTAAAAATCGGGCTGCAGCATTTTGGACCAGTTGTAGACGAGCAATGGAGGACTGATTGATTCCAAACAGAAGTGAATTGCAGTAATCAAGCCTAGATGTTATGAAGGCGTGGATCACTGTCTCAAGGTTCTTTTTGGAGAGTATAGGCTTCAGCTTAGACAGCCGTCTCAGCTGAAAAAAACAGGATTTGACCATCATGTTTACGTGACTGTTGAGTTTTAAGGACAGGTCCATTATCACCCCCAGATTAGTGACCTTTTGTTTCTCTAGCGGGGCTAGAGAGAAAAGGTCAATGTCATGGTTCATGAGTGAGCCACTGGGATGGAACAGCATGACTTCAGACTTCTTCTCATTGAAGCTTAAGAAGTTTAAAGCCATCCAGTCCCGGATGTCAGCCAGGCAGTCAAGAAGAGGCTGAATAGAGCGTGTGCCTCTGTGCCTCAGGGGGAAGTACATTTGGCAATCATCGGCATAGAAATGAAAGGGTATGTTGTGTTTGCGGAAGATAGCACCTAGTGGCAGCAGGTATAAAGAAAAGAGAAGGGGACCGAGGATGGACCCCTGCGGTACCCCCCACTGGAGCGCTGTCGATGCCGAGCTAAAATCTTTGATATTGACACAGAAGGTTCTGTCAGAGAGGTAGGACCCAAACCATTTAAGGGCTGACCCTGTGATGCCCACCCACTGCTCCAGTCTAGAAATGAGGATCTTGTGGTCGATGGTGTCAAAAGCAAATGTAAGGTCCAATAGGACAAGCAGCACAGAATCACCTGCGTCTGTGGATATGAAAATGTCGTTAAAAACCTTCAGTAGAGCAGTTTCAGTGCTATGGAGAGATTTTAAGCCAGATTTGAATAACTCTAGGATAGCATGATCCCCCAAAAACTGTTTCAACTGAGACTCCACAATTTTTTCCAGTAGTTTAGAGGTGAATGGGAGTCTGGAGACAGGCCGGAAGTTGGACATGACTGAGGGGTCAAGGTTAGGTTTTTTCAGGAGGGGCTGGACAGCAGCATGTTTAAAAGTCTTTGGCACCACACCTGAGGATAAACTGCTATTCAGAATAGCAAGGATAAAAGGACCCAGGGTAGGAAAAACTTCCTTTAGTAGTCGAGGGGGGACCACATCAAAGGGGGAACCAGATGGCTTCATGCTGCACATGGCTATGATTGCAAGATGGCAGCTGAAAACATGGCTTCACTTAGTCACAAACACTCTGACTTCAGACTGCATTTAAAAATGTGTTTCCTTCCAGTCTCCAACAGTCAGACGATATGATAAACTAACTTTAGTCATTAAAGATGAACAAACTTCTCGTAGTCAGTGGTTATTTTTACTATATTTCCATAAAAATGCCATTAGGTCTTTCAAGTCTATCCATCCCTTTCCTTTACATTTTGTCTCATAAGGGACGAGGGTTGAGGGCTGGGGGTTGCTTGGAGTAATGTCATTGAAAAGCCAACCTGTGTATGATTTTGAACTGTGGGAGGAAACCAGAATATCCAGACATCATGAATGCAACCAGAGGGGGAAAGAGTACTGAAAATGTGTACTCAAGTACAAGTACTGTTATTTATTTATTAACCTTTATTTAACCAGGCAAATCCCACTGAGATCACAGATCTCTTTTGCAAAGGAGGCCTGGGCCTGAAGGCAGCCTACAAGGAATGTTTTTTGTCTGTGGGAGTAAACCGGAGTACCCGGAGAAAACCCATGCAAGCACGAGAAGAACATGCAAACTCCACACAGAAAGACCCCAGGTCCAACCAGGAATTTAACCCAGGACCTTCTTGCTGTGAGGAAACAATGCTAACCACTGAGCTGTCGTGCTGCTGTTACACTGCTTAAATTGTATTCGATCATAGGTAAAAGTACTGGTGTTATAAAAAAAATTTAGGCAAAAGTACAAATTAAGTCTTCTCAAACACTATTCAGAGCATTATTTACTTTTTGAAAAAATGATGTTTTATTGTGTTGCCAATTTTCATTCATTCAACCTTTATTTAGACAGTTAAGTCACATTGAGCCCAGAAGACTCATTTACAAGTGAGATCAGTTTAGACAAAAAAGTAGTGAAACTGGACACATGTAGTAGGAATTGTAGGCGAAAAAATTCCTATCAGACTTCTTTTTGACTGAGAAGAAAAACTAAACACCTCGCACAAACAAGCACATAGTGACATAGACATTCTTCAGAGGGGGGTAGATGACGAGAGGGGTGAGCAATGTCCGTGGACGGGGGGGGTGTCAGATCACATGTTCTCCAGGCGAATTCAGATAAGGTGCCCTTCAAGGCCAGCCAAGGGAGCCAAATTCAGATAAACACACAGTTGTTTTAGGGACAGGCAGAACTTAATGACATCTACCTTGAGTCTGTTGGTCCACTCAGTTCCGAAAATGTCCAAATTACACG